ATTCCTGCAGATTGCACACTCTGCGAATAGGCTTTGGCTTCTGGATCAGTTCGCAGTAATTCCGGTGAACCATCTTGTGGTCAGTCTTCCTTCGGCAACCGTATTTTGTAAACTGATAACCTTAAGAGAGACACTCCTCTTATCTCCAGCATTTGAAGTTTTTACACACAACTCAGACTGTACTCAAACTGTGCATGAAAGGGATAGCAGGACAGCCTGAACCGAAGGCGAGTCAAACCTCATCTGATGAGCATTGCTTTGCTATATATACAAAAAGCTATACATTTGGCATCCCAGAGCAACCAATTCCCGTTATCTTTTCACAATGAAGCTGCAATCACAATTAGCAACAGACTCCTTTGGAAAGAGGCATCTTGGCAGTCCAAGATCCAAAGGCTCAGTTGTGTTCTCTATATCTGCACACCCAAAAGAGCGCACAGGAGGGCAGCTGAAACCCCAGGCCAGCTCTAGAGCTGGACTTAGGACTTAGTATCTAGGCCAAGTGCTTCCTGGTGCCTCTTCTCAGTGCAAAGTGCAGACTGCCAGGTGCAAAGGACTCAGGAATAATCCACCAACGGGTAGCATCTGTGCTCTATTTGCTACCTGGGTGTTTCATCAGCCCAAGGCCAATGCTTAGATAGTCCACAGGATTTCTCGCTAACAGAGAGAGGAATCAGAAATGAACACAGAAACTCTTATACCAGCTCTGACCAAAGGTCCGTCATAGCCAGACAGCTCATCTCTAGAAACAGTAACAGATGCTCACGTCAGTCACAGATGAGACATTTATAAAATCAACTGCCCGAAGAGAAAGTTGGTCCTTGCCCGAAGCAGTTTGTGTGCTGAAGCATGGTGGTTACTGTGATTTATCTGTCTGACACTTTACTAAAGGAACATGCTGTTACACTCCTGGCTTATTAATACCTTGTGGCAACAAGTCCCACAGATCATGGCGTTATGTTTAAACCCCCCCCCCACCTCCTCTCTCCTTGCATCAGCTTCCAGTTTGTTATTCATTTCTTTTTACCTCCTCCGCAGGGTTTCGAGCACTGGGACCATTTTTTCAGAGCCCATTCATACGAGACTGAATCTTCCAAAACATTGTTGTTATCTACGTTTAAGGAGTCTTCATGGATCATGTATTTGTAAGTCAAAGATACCTTGGTATCGCCGTGCGGAATCACCTAGACAGCAAAACAGATGTAGAACAAAAGCTTTTCAAGACTGATTTTTAAAGTCATCTTAAATAATTGTGCCACGGACACAGAAGCAGGCCCAACATTTAAGTGTATTCAATGCGTTTCACCCACTTAATGCATCTTTTTTTGTACTTGTGGCCCTGGGGTCCTTATACTACACATTAGGAAAGGGTGCTGAGCTGGATTGGCTTTGCAGGACCGTACGTTCCCACCTTCCAACCTAACAGAAAGAAACGTCACAATAAAATGATATTTCTGTTTTCACTGAAGACAAAGATTTAATCAAACTTATTGACTGTCTAAAACGGGTGGAAAGAATGTCAATGAAGATTAACTGATGCAAGTGGAAAAATGCAACTCTGTATGATATAAACACAGGCCTTCTCACAGCTGCCTTGAAATAATAAATTCATTGCCAGATCAAAGTCTGGTTCCTCATACAAAATGGACACCGAGCCAGTTTATTTTGCGGGTTTAAAGATGGATCCATTTGTGGAGTATGGTGCTGTTCAACACAAGCAAATGTATCCAAGCCTGCCCTTGAAGAAGGCCATTTTTATTCTTACCGGAGGACAGACTTTCAGCTGGTACAAATCAGCACAGTGCAACGGGCTCCGCTGGCCCAGATTTCCCGAAGCGAAAGATCTGTCACCCGGTATTTGTTCTCATGTCATTTATTCTTTTACAATGAACAGTCGATACAGTTTGAACTATTTCTCAATTAAGACAGTGATATCACATAAACCACTGAAGCCCTCTCTGGTGTCTGACTTTGTAGGACATATTGTTGAAAGTGGGGCAGGGGCTGGGAAAGGGTAACATGCGTTTAACTATAATAGGCTGCACTGATTTTTCTCTTAATGTTCCCATCACAGCTGTGATTAGTAGGCTGGACATCCTTTAGATAATGGTAATTTTCTAGGTCTTCCACAGGAAATAATTAGGAATGTCAAATGCTTGACATATAACCCTGGAGCTACTGTATAATGCGATTCCTGTAAGTGATAATGAACTAGGGAAAAGGGATTAAAATACATCTCTTTTTATCTTTTTTTACTCTTACAGCAAATGTCTTCCCATGATTCACAAAAGGGATCTCTAATACACAAGAGTGTTATGACTCAGTATGACCCTGACACTACGAGCCATGGGACGGGGTTTTCATTTCACTTACCAGAATAACTATCCCGTTACGCAAAGGCCCCATGGTCTGTACTGTCTCCCTGCCATCGTCGTTCCGGTATTCCCACTCCACGCCCATGTCAATAAAGGCCTTTGAATCTGGCACGTAGTTGTCGTCACTTAATATGAACTTCCCCGTTTCCCGATTCTTAATTGCTGGAAATAACACAACAGATGTGAGTCTGCAAGGGGAACCTCATGGCTGAAGCTGGCAGGGAGGGCGCCAAGCAGAGCAGTCTGCTTTTTCCCCATGCACTCTCACTGGATCAGGAAGGACTTTTTGGCTTTCACTCTGCATCCCTTTGCCTTCTTTTTCTGGCAAAGAGATGCCTACTGTTGTTTTGGGCCTTGTGCTTATATTTATTTCGTTCCTGTTGGCTTTCAGGGATGTGCTGCCTTGACTGTAACCTGCTCCTTCTTCGGTTCAGCTGCGAGTTCAGTTGTTCACCTTGTGCTGACATCAGGGTCCCCAGCTGGAGACTGAGGGCAGCCAGGTCTGAGGTGAGCCCACTCCACAGTACATCTGTGCTGCCTTGTGTGCTCTCCCTTTTGCACCAGCTCAGCAGCTGGGGCTTGAACATGCTGCACTTGGACACCAAGAGTCACAGGCTGCTTCTCGGGGTTCAGGTCTGTAACACCAGGGTACAAGCCAAGCAGTCATGCACTCCTCCATCACTGCCCCACACGCTCAGCTATCTGTTGCTGTCTGCTAGCCCTCCCATGGTTCGACAGGATAGCTTTCCCTGCCACTTGGTGCTTGCCTGACCCAAATTCTGTGTTGACATTAGGAGATAAAGGATTTTGTTATACACATCTGAGTCACTCCAGGCACTAGTAGTCCCTGAATCCCAGCCCATGCTCTCTGGCCTCTCACTCAATGCTCTCCTCTGTCTTGGGTCCCATCCAGGTGTTTGCATAAGCTTATGAGACAGAAATAAGCAGAGGGGGACTGCAGTGGCACACAGAACGAGCCTTGTCTGATTCCTGATCCAGGCAGGGAATGCCAACTCGGTGTCAGCTCGGGAAGTGTTTCCTAAAAAGAAGCTTAAATGATTCACGGCAGAATCAGCAGGCCATTTGCTGCGAATCCACTTCCATTTAATAACTGTCTATGAGACATTGCTTCTCATTGATCCCGTTGCATTGTAAGGAGAGGGTTTCAATTACTGTCTAAGCTTTGTGATTGATTGGGCATCCTTGCATCGATATTATTAACAATGGGGCAGAATCTGAAAGAGCTCAGATGCTACCAGCCTTGGATGCAGCGGGGAAACAAGTGACTGGGAGATGCATGCTGCAAACGCGGCATGTGAAAACAATGCAAATGCTGTCACACCCATAATAAAATTCACACCCCCAAATTAGCCACAGACGACCCGCTCCTGTCCCATCCTGTGCCTCCCCAACCCCCGATCAAGCAATCCTCCTGCTGTGACACAGAGGAGCGACACGTGGGGAAATTAGGATCAAATTTTCCAACGAGCGTACTTAATGTGTACCCTGGAAGGGGGGTCCTAAATACAGACAGGTGCACACACATGATGAGTTTGGGGGTGGGTGGGAAGCAAAATCAAAATATGCCTCTACAGAAAACAGTATTACTGCTGACAGCATCGTTCTTATTCCAGACTCACCCAGGTTATGAACAGTAGCATCTGTTTCTTGTACAAGTAAATGCCTTGCACCAGCAGGAATTTCAAACATCTTGAGGTGTCCTTTATTGTAGTATTTAAAGAGAATGACTGGTTAGCATGACAGTCCTCACACTTTTCTTCTCAGCAAAAATAGGTTTATTTGACCAAGGGCAGGATGCTTTAATACCAGCTGGGCCTAAGCCAGGGTGCTTAATAGACCCTTGTTGGAAGAGGAGAGACAATGGTCTCAGGGTTAACAAAGAAACGTTTGCCCAAGTCCAGTGCACTAATGCCACTTTAGACCCCCAAGCGCCACGAGCAGTGCAGAGGAGAGATCGTCTGCCCTGGCAATGACTGGAGATAAAATATCATTGAGGTCTTCCACTTGGTCGGGTCAGACAGAGGAGCCACATCCATCTGTGGAGACGCCTCTAACACGAGTCAGTCCACAGTACTCTTACAGAGGACAATGCCACTCTTCGTGCCAGCTGAGATGGGCATGGACCCCGATTTGGGAGTAGAGGAACAACTGCCTGACACCGACCTTATCTGCACACTTCCAACCACCAGGTAAAGCCTGGAGAGCATCCACTGGAGTGAGCAGAGCCTAAACTATCAGCGGCAGTGCTGACAGACTGTTGGCGAGAAGCCCCTGAAATCCCTCCGAGTCGTACACCTGCAGCCAACTAACCTTGCTTCTTTGGTGCCCTGGAAAAGGTTCCTTTCACCACCTTGCAGTGGGAATTATCTCCTCCACAGACACCACACTTATCTTCCTGCTTAGAGGAGCCTATTACCCGGTCGCAGCCGACTTTCTGCAAGCAAAGAGGAAAACCAATTTTACTTGTTTATCCCAAACTAACGCAACCGCTCCTTCGATTCAGACGTCCCAGAGGGTTTGCTGCATTCGCTTAAAGATGATAGGGCTTCCCCAGAAGCTTACTTTAGAATTGACATGTTTTTAATACTCACGGTTCTCCTTGTTACAGTCACGGTAGCTTTGGCAAATTTTGATACTGTGATTCATTAAGTCCTGATTCGGGAAAACTTCGCTTTTAAAGAAGCACCATTTCTAAGGCAGATGCTTATGCTGCACCTTGAGAAAGCGCTTCCTTAAACTTAGTAGTTGCACAAGTACCTTGCCGAAGTCTGTCGCAAAGATGGGGATTTACTGTAATTTTCTGGGATTTTTTTTTTAAATTGCCCAATCAAATATACAGAAAATGTACGGCAGCTATATTTTTAGCATCACTTTCCTCGAAAGGGGCTGTATATGTGTATCTTAATGTACATTCCACCCCTGCCAAACCCTCTGAAGGAAAAGCTTTCACTGAAAACTAATTGTAATAGTTCATCTTAAAAATGCTGCATATATTACTTGTGTAGGTAGCTGCTGTTGGAATTGAGTCACATGCAATGTGATGGCAACTGTGAATATCACACGTAATATTGTGACAATAATTCTAATGAAATCTCATTATTGCCCAAAGCATTATTGCACTGACTTAAATATTCATTCTTGGAGAAGAACGTTCAACCTTCTGCTTTTAACTGTTTTTGCACAAGTCAGGCTTGAAAAATGATAGGAATGAAGGATCGACATTGATGTGCTTACCAAACAGTCCCCGCGCACACAGATGCTGTAGGAGTCTTTATACGAGCAGCGAGTCCCATCGTGCACCATTCTTTTCATGTACACAACATCCCCAGTTTCCTTGGACTCACAGTACAGGTGGCACCTTTCTTTAACTAGAGGAGAAAATGCCCTGTTATTGTGCGTGTGAAGCCGGAGCAGTTCTTCTGCTCAGTTTTTGAACAGCACTTTGTATGACAATGGTATTGGCCATTGGTCCGAACCTTGCCCAGTGCTCTGGCAGGGCTCAGTAAAAGATCAATGGTTCTCATTTCTGAAGGGCTACGGGGCCTGCTGGAAACTGCTGGATGATGCAGAAGAAAAGGATTGCTGCGTGGACTGTGCCTTAGTAACTAAGACCCTTCTGCTTCACAAAGGGTGCATCCTGTATCATGCAATCTGGTCCCTATACTTGGCAGTGGAGAGCCCCCTCTCCCGTGGGAGGCCGGGGCGAAGGGGGTGTTGGGGTGGAGTTTATCAGCCGCACTGTACGAAGAATGGAAAAAGCAGCCTGAACAGCAGCTGTCCAACACAGCTGGTAAAATTGGCTTTCAAAGAGGCTGAAAGGAATCCTGCACCAGGCTACCTCCTCCTACACGAGGAGCTGTTTTTCCACAATTGTAATGATTGTATTGGGCCATCATGAAAGCAAGACCAAGAGCAAAGTGATATTTTATCACCGGTGTGTGGGCGAGCAGCCAATCGACTGCATCTCTTTCTCCTGGACGGGCCTGGCCCCAGCCAAGAACATGCTGCTGGAATACCAAGCTCATGGCTGGAGAAACTTGGGTCCTCAACGTGGCTTCACTCTATTCACTTCTCACCCATGGCTATTCATTTTCCTGTTCCCTTAATTAGATCCTAGGTGGCTTCCTGGGCAGTGAACAGTGTTAGGTGCAATAAAAAAGGATGCCTCATTTTTGCCACGTGACTAAAGCTGAAGACATACTTTCCATAAGTTTAAAGACTAATGAGCCTTCCTTGCTAACAGTGCACACTGTGCCCTGGCCATGAGCCCTGCGTGGGGCACAGTGTTTCAGAGAGACAGCTCCCTCCCAGCTTCCTATCACTCCAGGGGAGTTGTAGTTTGCTGCTGTCCCATACCAGCTGTGCACCACCGTCCTCTCCACACTGGTCGGGGAGGATGGGGAGGTTAGAAACCAACACTCCTCCAACTCTCGGCTCTAGCCTATCCATTCCCTGTTCACCGAGTGGAAGGGCAAGTGAGTAGCCAATGCGGGAGTCCAAGGGTAGGCTGTCATTTCATTGTATGCCGTTGTGTGGACAAACAAGCCAAGGGACAATCGAGACCAATAAGGTCTGGGGGGTGCAGGATGCCAGGCAAGGTGGTTACTGCAGCAGTATTGCTAAGCCTTTTGTTGTTAGCTAATATAATGGCTGTGCCTAGCCACAGGAGAAGGGAGACCCTCTCCTCAGGCCGGTCTGCTAAAGACAGCCTCTAAAGGATGAGCCTAACAATGCACACCCTCTGCCCGTCTCTGCATCTGCCTTGCTGACAGCTTCAGTATCCCGGCTGGCAGTAGCTTCGCTAAGGTGCCATTAAAGCAAGGAGGGGACTTGCTAACCGTCAGCATGCTCATACGGGAGCCAGTGGTGTTTCTTGTTCTGATATTCAAAGTAGGGATCCCATTGCTTGCACTGCTCCTCCCTGAAATCTTCAAAGTCCTTGGGACAGTCTTGGGTGCTGCAGAGCTGGAACTCGTAGCTCGGTCCCATGCACGTGCGGCCTCCGTTGGCTGGGCTGTGGACACGGAAAGAGACAGTGGTGAGCTGCAGCATTAGCAGCTCCATGCAGGGGGGTTGCTTTTATTCAGTCTCTCAAGGCCTAGTTCAGTCCTTAATCGCATTTCCCTTGCTTGCTTTTGTGATTTATGAGGAGCAGACGCTGCTCTGGTGGCATCGCCACCACTGACTTCCTGTCAAGCCGAACAGTCTGGAAGACAACGAGGAAATGTCTCCCCTCGGTCTCTGCTACGCGCAGCTGCACTGAGGCAAATGGAAATGCACGGGATCCCTTTTTCAAAGAGATTTGTTTCTGCCCGGCTCCTCCAGAACGTGTTCAGTAAGACGACAGTGGGAAGAGTCCCGAGGTCCGACTCGCTTCCCAACCAGCTCCTCGCCATGCTGCCCAGTGCATTATTTTAATAGTAATTTAGCACACCCTCCCCACCAGCATCCCCTGCACAAGCATCCGTGTACGCTGAACTCACTGCGGATTGTCACACTGCCGGGTCCTGTACTTCACCCCTGTGCCGCAAGTCCGGGAACAGGAACCAAACTTACTCCAGGCTCCCCAGTTCCCATCTTGCTTCAGGATATCTGGAGTTAACCAGATGCAGTGGCCTTTAAAGCAGTGCTGGAAGAGAAAATGGCAAAGGTTTGGTGTTGTGGGAGACACTGACCCCACAGCCAGGGGATCGCGATGGGCCCTGATGCTGTGACCCACTGCCAACTGCAAATGTCTTCACCTTCCTAGAACAACAGGACCTCGCTCGCGCTTTGTGCCTGTGGGCCCAGCCACCTGAGCTGACTTGAAGCACATAAGTCATCATGTCCAGAAGTGTTTCCTGGCCAGCCCCTGAGCCTTGTGCTGCCTGGAGGGTGAAACCTCCTGCGGAGCTGTATGTCTGCATCTTGTGGCTGCTACCATCTAGCACAGGCTCTCCTTCAGGACAAGTGGGAGAGGCCTCACCGCACTCACTCCATTTATCTGGCAGTGAAGAGGGCTCTTTCTGCCACGGGGCCGCCGCGAGCATCTTGAATGCTGCGCACAAAAGGCTGCACCCACTGCATGACATGCTTTGACATGCACGATTACTGCCAGAAGAACGGCAGTATAATTAACGCCGTTTCCCATTCGACGTGGTCAACGAGTGTTAACCAATGAATCTTCGCAGCATCCCTGCGAGGTGGGTGGTGAGATGCCACTCTGCCAAATTTAGAGATGGAGAAAGTGAGACACACTAAGTCAGCAGCAGAGCCAGGACTGGACGCTGGGATCCTCCCTGACTCCTAGCCCTGTCCACACTTCCCCAGGAAACCCTGAACATCAGGGGAAGCGTCCTCATGAAGAGCGCACTGCAGCACGAGATACTCTCCTGAAGAAAGGGGTGGGTCAATCCTGATGGGTCCTGCAGTTGAGAAGCTACCAATTTTTTGCCCCCTCTCCAATCTGATTTCAAACACGGGAGTGAGGTGGTTTTAAAGGCAAGCCTTTGCTAAACTTTCATGAAACGTCCACACCTGCTTTGCAATGGTCTCTTTAGTTTCAACCCCTAGAGCCTCTCTGCCACCTCCCTCCTGAGAGCACATTACAACAAGCTGATCCCGAAGAGCCAGTTCCTCTGGCCCTTAATCAAGAAACTTTCCTACTTAAGTTAACAGGCGTTTTTTCCCTCAAAAATCCCAGAATTTGGCCCCACAAACGGTTTCTGCTTATGTAACAGTCACATGGATGAAATACGAGGGCCTGAAAATATTCTTAGCACAATTAATTACTTTACACTGTGCTGACATTGCTGTTTGTTGGTGTTAATGGTTGCTGTCAGGGTAAGAGGCCTGGCTCGCACACACACAGATGGCTATAACAACAAGTGCAGTCATTCACTTTTCTTAACATCCAAGTCAACAACAAAATTTTACACAGCTTAACAAGCCTCAGCATCCGAGAATCTGGCAGGTGGTTGGAGCAGAACATATGGCTAAACGCATGCTGCCAGCAAAAACAAAACGAGAAGATTTATAACACGAAAGCCTCTTGGTGCAGAGAGCGGCTAGTGATCTGGAAGTCAAACTGAAGAGGGATGGATAATCATTAATAAAGTCCATTTAAAGAGGAAATAATTAGTAAAACTGTGACAAGAAGTAGCTTGCTGTTCTGCTGAGCTATTTAGTGTACATATATTTTATTCTGCCTGTGATTTAGTTATATGACAACTTATAAAAGTGGAAGCAAAATTAGAGAGACTGTCACTCCATTAGAGCTCTACAGTACGTTCGGTCAATACATAGCTAAGGGATCACCTTCATCGTGCAGGAGCTTGCGGGTCAATAAGACAAGAGCCAGATGCCAGCGCTGGTACTGTCACCCAATAACACCTCATTTCTCAGGTGCTTTAAAAAGCCATTACTCCAGTTCCCTAAGCATCACGTGAAAACCAGCTGCGCCGATGTTGTGCACAGAAGGGAGCAATGTCTTATTTCTACAACTCTAGCATACCTAGCTCCCAGACCAAGAGTCAGGCGTCTAGCCCAGGGGTGGGCAAAATGCAGCCCGGGGGCAGATGCAGCCTGCCAGGCCAGTCTATCCGGCCTGCGGCGCCCCTAAAGAATTTAGAAAATTAATATTTATCTGCCCTGGGCTGCCTGGCATGCAGCCCTCGATGGCTTGCCAAAACTCAGTAAGCGGCCCTCCGCCTGCCCCTGGATTAGCCCATATGCCCTTCCATGGAAATTAATGCAGTGCCTTGGTGCAGATGGGGAGTAAAGCGTGTCACCGGACCATTTATTGCTCTCCTGCTAAGGGCTGCAGGATCCTGGTTCACTTGTGACCCCACATCTCTGCTTCCACCTCCGAGCTCCTCTCATGCTTGCTGAAAGCAGCTGGGGATGCAGAGTGCTGGATATACCTAGCTGCTGAAAAGCATCATGGACCAGGTAAATTGGACCTGGCTCCTACCCTGGGGGGTCTTTAAAAAAAGGCTGGACGAACATCTGGCCGGGGTCATTTGATCCCGGTACTCTTTCCTGCCACGGCAGGGGGTCGGACTAGATGATCTCCTCAGGTCCCTTCCGACCCGACCAACTATGAAACTATGAATTACCGCTTAAAAAGCCATTTATGGCAAATTTTCTCCAGAGCAGTGGCATTGCAGTGTCCATATGGCTTGATGGGACGAGATCTGATTCAGCAACGTGAGAACTGAAAAACATTGACATTGTGTCCTTGCCGTGCCCTTCCGACTCCCACGTGCCTGCTGTCCCAGAGGCCTGCCTTAGCTTGATCAGAGCTGGGAGCGGGGCTGGTGCCTGTGTGAAAACAGAGCCAGGTGGGGGGCACATCACCTCCGTGGAGCACAATCTGCATACAACAGACTGCATGACAATGGCTTGCAATGAAGTGAGGCCTTGTTTCCACTTAGAAGGGGCAGAAGATGGAGAAAGCATGGCAATGCTGCTCCCCTTTTTTCATCAAGCAGTGTGTTTGGGACCGAACCACTCTTCAAACCACCCCGCTGGTGTGCTGGCAGGTTCATAACATGGGAGACTAACCCTGGTGCACAGAGTTGACCCTGTGGCTCAGGGGAAAGGTGCTGTGTTGATCTGCACTGGTGCTGTGGGTCGTACGTGGATTGCCAGTCTCCAAGCTATAAACAGGGAAGATGAAGTTTAGCCGTCAAGAAACATGTGTTTGTGCAAAGTGAGTCATCCCCTGATCTGCCAAGTCTTGCTGGACATAGAAAGAGAGGTTTTTGCACGGAGGTGCTCTGAAACAGCAGCCTGCTCTGTATTAGACCTTCGCAGGGGAAGGGTGCAAGGACCTCAGATGGATGCGGTTGGATCTTCAGGGTCATAACAGAAACAGGACCGTTTCCTTCCCACTGCTAACACCGCTAACGACAACCATTGTTCTAAGCAGAAGCAGAGAGTTTCATTTTAATTACGAAGCTGCTATTAACACTGAGCTTTTTTTTTTGGCAAGAAGAGAAAATAAAAGCCGGGGAAATGTAAACTGTTTTCTTTGTGGAAGGAGAAGACTGCTTGTCATCTTGCCCATTTTTGGGGCAGAAGGGACAGCCAAAAACAAGTGCAATTTCCAGGCAAGGAGGCTCCAGGCTCTTACAGTAAAAGGTCCCACTGCTGTTTTCCACTGTTCTCTGAAGCAAAGCATAGATGCCAAGGAGGAGCGTCTCTCTTGGGGATCCTCACATTTCCGAAATCGTTTTCAAGAAAAGGCTGGTAAATCTGCATGTGATCCAAGTGCTGGGAATTACCAAATCCTAGATGGGCAACCCTAGTTACTCAGCCAAAAAACCTTTGCAAGGTGGACCCACAGTCTACATGCATGGCACGGGCTGGATCTGCAACCCACCCATGCTGGGCTGAGATCCTTCCAGGGAGAGATTTAGTTATTCATTTAGGTTTCCCAGCATGGCTGGGCTGGACCCATCTGTCCCATCTGTTTGAGCAGAAATGTGTTGCAAGGGAGCGAGTGAAAGCTGTAACAGCCCAATGGGCTCTGCAAGTCAAGAACAGGGTTTTTCTGACTAAGGAGTCAAGTATTCTCACGGCTTTGAACATAGCACACACTTCTCCATCTGTCTCTTGTCTGTCAGAAGCTGAGGTCAGCTTTCTCAATGGGAAGTTATCTGGATTGCTTTAAGTGCATCCAAGCCTTGGCTGAATCCTTTTTTGTCTTGGTCCATTTAAAAAATAAAATAAAAGGAGAACAAGGAGCAGCGCAGAGATCAGCTGCTTGGTAAAAGGGACAACACCAGCCCGGTCAAATGTGCGCCCCGCATTTTGGCTCCTGTTGAGTTCCAGGAGTGACATTAAGCCAGCGGGCACCAAGCAATACCAGGGCCCTTACCTCTGTCACAGGAAAAAGGAAGCGTGCCAGATGGCGTATTTCTCGCTGGCGGGTATAGCGTGCCCTTGCCTTGCACGAGTTCTCTTCTTCCCTTCTTCTGAGCAAAGTCCGCTTTTCCAGCCAATAGAAATGTTCTCAACAAAAATGATCCATTTGGGGAAAGAAAGGAACCGAACAAAAACTGCTGATGTATTTACAGACGTTCCAAGCAGTGGGAGAAGCCTAAAGCTAACGGTGGGGCTAACTGAAGCAGATGCAAGGAAATAAGCCATCAGCCGGGATATTTCTACTGTCACAGCCAAACCTTGGCATTAAGATTTGAGCTTTGCATTCTTAACCCTTAGCCCTTGGTCTTACAAACCAGGTCACGGGAAAGGTTCAAATCCACATTAAGGCTCCTTTCCAACAAAGACTTGGAAAGTAGTTTTACACACTGGAGCACTTCCATGGGAGCCAGGGGCCACGCTGCATCTAGAGGAAGCACGAGATAACCCGGACAGGGCCAGATCCCATCACTCTTCTGTGCCTGGCGCCCTTGCTGGAGTGCCGGTGCTGGCAAAGCCGAGATCTCACAACAGGGCAGGACTCTATGAGGCCTCGCCTTCACATTTAACACAAAAGAAATATTTCTGTTTCAAAAACAGGGCTTTTTTCCATAGCAACATTTCCTCTGCTGAGAAGGGGCAAGTCAGGAGAAGGTTTTAGCTGCTCCTGGCGACAACCAACAGGTGCGATCCCATCGAACAAAATGCGTCTAATCACTTGCG